AGTCTTAGGCGCTTTAAGTGAGAGAATTCAGAGAGCAAAAATGTGCGAACAGCGCGAACGACAAAAACGAATGTCATATTCGTAATCAGGGCCTCAAATAACCCCTATACACAAGTTTACAGCGAATTTGGTGAGTTCAGTCGTGGCGCCATTTGGCGCCAATTGGCGCCAGCGCCAAAAATGGATATCATATTCGTGATCAGGACCCTCGATAACCCCCATAGCAGAAGTTTCAGCGAAAATTATTTTTTGACCCATCTCACCCCCACTGGGGTTGTAATAGTGCAATAGTGCCCTAATTTCTGTTCAAATTCAAGTTCCTTGATGAGAATCAGACTCGGTTAAAGGAAGGCAAGCCAGAGCAGATATGGCGCACTGGCAAAGGGCGCAGTTCCACACAAGTTTTATTATTTTTTCAATTCTACGGTTCAATGAGAGTCTCCGACTTCGCCTGTTTCAACAATGCCTTTGTCACCTCCGAACTTGGTCATCTGGTACCAGATTCGCTCAAAAGGAAAAAACGGTGGTGTGCATAGAATCGGCTTGCCCCTTGTGAATCACTTTGCCGGCTCTACACCTAAAACCCACTACGGTTTTGACAAAAATTCAAATAAGTGGCGCATCAAATAGGAAATTATCAACCACAAGTTTTGACCCTCCTTTTTATGAGAAATCGGGACAGAACAACTCACTTTGCTGATTCTGTAAGCAAGTGAACCGAGTTCACCAGATCCGTCTTCATTTCCCTTTATGGATGCCCACCAACTAGAAATGTTCACAATAGCAGCACGGTCGATACCCATGTGGTCTCCTGTGCCATGTGAAGATGCTTTACGCAGTAACGGCAAAAAGGTCTGCAAAATTAGCTGATTACTTGCTGGATACCTTCTCTGGATTCATAAATTGCTATAAAATAAGCAAATCCGTCACAAACCTGACTGACGATGGCAGTCCCTAATACATTTACATTTATACATTTCATTAAAGTTTCCCGACAAATGGCTCCGGTGGTGAAGTATGGCGGCAAAACGCCGCATTGTTCAACAGCACGTTTAGGCCACTCTCGCCAACGATGGTTTCCACCTTAACAATCCGCTCAATCTCTCCATGGAAAATAGTAATTCGTGTTAGCAAATGATTGTCCCAGACATTCAAAATAGGAACCTGTTTGTAGGCATCTTTGATAGACTTGGTCACACTCAATATCAATTTTGACGATTTTCAGTCGTTTGTCGGTAATCGCATTCAATTCCTAAATAAATATTTTACTGCGCTTGTCCCACCTTCATTAGACTTACAAAAGAAGAATTGCAGACCCCTAAGACCGTTCAGATTGAAGTGTAATCTATCCGAACGCTGGTTAAAATACGTCGTTCTCAGCGGAGGATACTAGAGAGTGTCCAAAGTTATGGGCATCTCTACACAGCAATATACATGTCTTAAGCTTTCACGAAGGATACCAATGAATTGACATATATTTGACTAGCAACATGTACAATAATGTGAAACATCCAGATTTTAAAATGTCTCCCACTCCCACAAATGCAAGCTCGAAGTCGCATTTCAGACTTCTTGCACGCAGCATGCAGGTAAATCTCTTCCAAGACTCCGTGAATTGCTGTTTTCAGTGACTCAAATCTAGGATGATGGACTCGACAGAGCTTAAAATGACTATACTGGAAGTGAGGAGTGAGGACGTGGTGGAAAAGATGATTTCGAGTAGCTAAAGCCGGCACCCGTCTTCGATAGACTTGACTCTGGGGGCTGGAGCACACCAGCTCACCTCAGGCGTCCGGGTTTGCTGATCTAAGGAGAC